ACAGATAAACAATTGAAAATACATTTAGAACAGCTATCTCATTGTTTTAGTTAATTTTGAACATTTTCCATGATTTGATGTGAATATATCTTACAATGATTACTTAAGTAATTTACACAGTAACATTTAAAAACATTCTTATCGAATAAAGAGATCAGTGTAAATTAACAAAATGAAACTTTTATCAAAAATCAAATCAAATGACTACTAACTATAATATATTTTCTTATCAAATTTAATGTAAAACGTATATAAGTATAGATAAACATATTCCTAACGTTTCTCTTTACTGAAATCAAGGTTTAAAAACTAACGTATAAGCAAATGATACATTGCTCTTTACAGTATTATTGTTTGTCATTTGTGCGTACACAGATATTTATATAAATAAATATAAACATATATTTTGCCTACAAACTGATGCTTGTAATACTTTATACTTAAACGAGTACGTCTTCTCATGTATGAAAACCGAAAGAAAGAAGAGCCTAATTAAAATAGAAAGATCCTAACGTTATCTTTAAACGTTTTCTTACAAGATGAAGCCTCGAATGAATTAATCGTAGTGAAACTAATTTCTACGAAATGTCAGACAATGCTAGAACAAACCCAGTGAAGAATGTGTCTACTTTATTACATTACGACGTTAAATTATCCCTGGCTCCAAGCCAAACTGTTGGCGTCTTCGCTTGAATCTCTGACTAGTGACCAATCACTACTCCGCTTTCTCTTTAATTCAAGACTTTTAAAAGGCAAGGAGACAGGGATCAAAATGAGGGAGATTTTGAATAAAATCCAGCTCAAGCTCCCCGTACCCTAAAAGGCTTAAGTGTTTGTAAAACTTCAATGATTAGTAAAAAAAAACAAAAACAAAAGATAAAACATGAATTTTAGCCCGAGTCATATTACATTCTATCTAACTATACTTTCAGGAGAAAAGCATTTTATTTCAAATCATATTACACTCTATGCAAGTACATTTTCAGGATGAAAGCATTTTATCCCAAGTCATATTACAGTCTATTCAAATACACTTTCTGGAGAAAGGCATTTTATTCCACACATTATATGGTATTGTTTTTAAAGTTTTATTATTCTGTTTGAGTGGTCCCCCTAGTGGCACAGCGGTATCTCCGCAGACTTACAACGCTAGAAACCAGGTTCCGATACCCGTTGAGGACAGAGCACGGATAGTCCATTGTGTAGCTTTGTGCTTAACTTCCAACAAACTGTTTGAGTGACCTAAGGAAGATTTTATCTCTAATCAGAGGAATGATAAAATATTTCTCTTCTGATGTTGTTATTGTTTTAATAGTTTTAGCTGTACGTATTTTACATACTTGTTTGACCTTCTATAATACTGTACTTTGTTACAATCATTTTAATTTTCCGCTAAGTCTGTTAAAGTATTTTATTTAACTATATATATCAAAGTATCCTTTTGGAAAAATAAAATCATTACAATTATGTATTCATCTATTTAAAATGAAAGTAAACATGTTCACCAAGCTAAGTGAGACAGAACAAATGTACGAATGTTTGAAATGCTATATGTATGTGTATATAAGCTATGATATTGAGATAAGCGCGTAGCCAGGAATAATGTGGTTGAAATACTATCATACACTCTTCTAGAAAAACCCCAAGGGCCAAATAAATAATGCAGGTTTTAAAAATATAATAATCACAAAACTATTGTCTTATGGCAAATTATAAGT